TTTCAGGGCCCAGCTGGACCTGGCATGCTAAAGGCTGCCTGTCCCAGTCAAATTCCCTGTAAGCCAGCAGTCTGCTTCAGAAATCATGTGGATTCGGACCACTATCATTTTTATGTGCCAAAAGAGAGTTTCATTCTCCCTTCTTATAATCCCTGAGCCTCACTCAAAATATACAAAGAAAAACCGTATGTGTGCCACGTACATCCAGCTTCAACTCAGGGCCTCTTGATCATTCCATCTCCACTACACCTCACGCTAATTCTTCCTAAAGAGAAATTCTTGAGCCTCTCATAGGTTAGGCCAGCAGTGATGGGCCCGGATCAGACCCCCACTCCTGTATATCCAGGGATTTTTATTATCTATAGACCTATTGTTCTACCTTTCAATGAGCTGAGAAGGTTCAGAACCAAACGTAAAAATTAATGATGATGCCTGTGCCAAATAAATAAATAAAGACATTACTTTTAAGGAAAAAATTTTTCAATAAAAATGACAAATATTTATTTAATCCCCGATTCCGCAAAACAAAAAAGGAAAATATTTTAAAAAGAATTGATGATAATGATGATGATAAAAATAACAGTGCAAAGTGACATTTCTTACATGGATTATAGTTTAAAAACTTTATACATGATACAATAATAATCATTTAACTTGAAAGCTGCGTTTATACAATAAATATGTATGCCCTTTGTATAGGTATTACATGTTTATTCTCCATAAATAATGAAGTTTTTTTAAGGGGGGTAGTTTTTTGCTTGATTGTTTGGGGTTTTTGTTTTGTTTTGTTTTTTTTTTTTTTGCTTTTGGGCAGGGGTTGTTTGGTTTTTTCTTGTCTTGTTTTGTTTTGCTTTGTTTCAGACAGGATCTTACTATAAAACCCAGGCTAGCTTTAAACTCAGTGATCCTCAGACTCCTCGGGCGGGAATTACAGGTATACACCACCTGTTCTGAACTATACAATAAGGCAGATTTTTTCTTAAATTTAAACAATAGCTACCAGCTACTTGGTGTACATAAGTACCAAAAATACACTTAGAGCTGATTCTAAACCTAACTCTTAAATGAATGGGGTGGTCTCCATTTCTTTATTGTTAAAACAGATGGGTTCTACTAGAATGATCATCGAGATCACTTGTGGCTGACCTCTGCCTACCTAGTCATTCCACTTATCTTGTTTTGCTTGAGACAAGACCTCACTATAAAACCCAGGCTGGCCTTGAACTCATAGTGATCCTCTTGCCTCAGCCTACCAAGTGCTGGGATTATAGACATGCACCACCACACCCAGATTAACAATGAAGTTTATAAAAAAAACCATCAAGATCAGACTTCAGTTGTCCAAAAAAAAGAGATTTTTGTATGGGGCAAGGCAAAGTCTTGAAAGGCCAGCAGGGTAATGGCGCGGGTAAAACAAACCGCAGAGGAGAGGCATCTGGAAAAAGCTCTACATCCAGAAAGCTTCTCTAACTCCAAAGGTTCTGTGTTTTGTTTTCAAAACAAGACACCACTGCCTTGTGTTATGATATTAGTATGAATTAACTTCTTCTATAAGTAGGATTAAGAAAGAGCTCACAAAACTGCTGAGACAAAATGGCCTTCTGTCTCAGAAATCACTAAAGCAAACATGAAAAACTAGAAATCTATGGGTTAACATTGGCTCAAAGACTTTTAATATTCAGAAAGTATATATTTGAAATTTTAGGTCGGTGTTAACAAATATAAATTGGTCCACAGAAAATCTTTTGTTTTTTAGCTTTTCTTGAAAAATTAGGTCTGGACTCCTGTGTATATAATGAGTTGGCAATGATAAGCTGGACCAAGAAACCTCTAAACTCTAAACATCCCCAGCTTACCACAGTCTAGCACCTCAGGTCCCTGGTCTGTTTTAGTGGTACCCAGAGGTATCTAAATTGGTGAATTCAGCATCAAAAATGCCAGAAATGATCACACAAGCAGGAATGAGTACTATCCCAGCTTTTGAAGTCCAAAAAAGGCCTCAGTGTTTCCACACCCTCTGAGTGTACTGTACCCTTCCCATCAGAGACAGAGCAGGCCTGTGTCAGCTTACTTCCTTTCTGTGTTCTGCCCGTGCTGAACTGTATGATAAGGCAGATTTCTTCTTAAATTTAAATAGCTACCAGCTACTTGGTGTATGTGAGTACCAAAAAGACATTTAGAGCTGATCCCAAATCTAACTCTTAAATTAATGGGGGTCTCCATTCCTTACTGATAAAACAAATGGGTTCACTAGACTGATCATTAAGATCCCTTGTGGCTGACCGCTGCCCATCTACACCATTCCACTTATCTAGAATCTACTGTACTTAGCTTTTAGAGATGTTCAAGTTTCGTCACCCCCACAAATGTTCTTCAGACTTCCTTCTTTGAATTTCTAGCTTATCACCAACACCATCCAAATTAGGATGTACTAATTCACTAGTTGTTTTGCTTTGAGTATAATGGCTTATTCACCACATTCAAACAGAAAAATTCCTTTAGAGACTATAAAGTTTGGTTTTCCAATCCTCCACAGCCTTTAACACTTAGCTGCTATTCAATGATTAATTATTGAAACTGAATAAAGATACAGAAAACAGGTATACCATAGTAACCTTCCCAGAGAGCAACTTTCAACAGCTCTCTCAAAACTAATTACCTTTATGAGCAACACAATTTAATCATCTGATTCAGGCAGGGATAATGCGAACTATGCCAATGAGACAGCCACTAGGAAACACTACCAGATTCCCAAATGACTTTGTACATACTCATGGCTTTCTTCAATAGTAAAAAAACTCAACAGGGGAAACAATGCAAGCAAATGTCAATGCATTTCTACCACAGTGTTACCCACTGAAAGATTTGTTCTCCACTAAAATAAGGACAGGAGAAAAAGTTTTCTACTACAATTAAGAAAAAAATTACTAGCAAGAGGCCACAGTTTGGACATTTGAAAACTACAGTGAAAATCACCCTTGTTCCTCCCCACCCTTTGGATGTCACAGAAGCTCTGAGTAAGAGGAGACCAGGTTAAGATGTCATGTGGGTGGAGATGGGATTTGCTTACCCTCACCGGAAAACAGTGGGATACAGGTTTTACTTGTTCTAGTCGCCAAATAAGGCATTTGTGGGAAACCGTCCCCATGGAGAAGTAATATGAACTATTACTTGGGTAAGATTTGTTTTTGAGACATATCTCACGATGCAATACAGGCTGGCCTTGAACTCACTCGGTAGTCCAGGATAAACTTAAACTCTTAAAAAAATAAAATAAAATTAATAAACTTAAACTCTTGGCAATACTTCTGCCTCAGGCTTCCAAGTGGTGGGATTTCAGGTATAGCCACCACACCCAGCTAAGATTTTCCTTTTGGAAAGCTACATAAATCTACATAATAAAGCTTCAATATCTCTTGCAAAAGTCAAATTCTTAATCCAAGCTTTTGTGGTTGCCTTAATTTTCCTATTCAATGTTTTAAAATAATTGACACTCTGTATTAATACTAATGTAAACTAACATTAACAAGCTTTAACAACCAACCAACTCTGGTGGGTTGAAATTAAATCCATTTACAAATTACTCCCGTGATGAAACAACAAATGTGTTTCCACATAACCCATGCATTGTAGAAACACAATTTGTTCTGAAATTCACACTATACTCATACAAGGGATGAATCAAAACTGAGTGTATCTGTGGAATGAATTTATTCAGGTGTGGGAGGGGCATGGATCATGGAAAAATGTCGCACTAATCTTAGTTTATGTAGTGCCTATAATGTCAGCACTCAGGAGGATTGATGTGAGTTTGAGACCAGCCTGCACTTCAAAGTGAGCTCAAGGCCAGCCTGAACTGCATAGTAAGATCCTGTCTCAAAAAAAAAAAAAAAAAAAAAAAAAAAAAAAAGGAAAATACTGATTAATTATAATTTTTGCATAAATTTTCATAGGGAATTCCAAAGAAAAGCAGCAATGTTTTACAATCAGAGGGTAACGATGTGTGTCTTTTTTTTTTTAAGGGACTTAGCATTTTATTAAAACTGCTTCTCAATATTTTTAAACCATTCAATGTTTTCGTTGTTGTTTTACGAGACAAGGTCTTACTACTTTAGTTCAGGCGTGGCCCCAAACTCAGCAGGGATCCTCCTGCCTCAGCCACCCTACCGCAGGGATTACAGATGTGAGCCACCACACCCGGCTCAACTGTATGATTTTATCTGGTGTTTCTGATCCTCCAATCAATGCATCCTCTAGGGAAGCTGCCAGTCTACCCACACACCACGGTCTGAAGAAGACTGGATTAGCCACATCCACTTCCGCATAGTCCCAAAGACAGACAAGCCTGCAGGCCCCTAGTACTTCCATCTTCCTCAAAGGCCTATCGCCCAGCTTACACCCTATTTTCCCCTAGTACTACAAATAAAACTCAGTTTCTTCTACCTTAGGTCAAAGCCAGCTCTCCTCTTCTGGGGTCCTCTGAACCTGACAGACACAGCACCTCTAGAGCCACGGCTGCTTGAATCCATAAAATAGCACAATCCTGACCACAGGGCGAGTTTCAAATCTCAACCAGGCATGATCCCATAAAACCCCCAAGTTCAGTTTTCTGTTCTGCTAAGCCCACCACACGAAGCCCCTCGAGCCTTCAGCAGCGTTTGGTTTGTAAAATGCCCCACACAGTGTAACACAACCCCTGGAGCCCGGACCCGAGAAGAAAGTCGCAGACATCCTCCCAGTCTCGGGGTTCCAGCCCCGCCTGCGTCGTCCGGCGCCCCGCGGCCGCAGCTCCTCGCTCCTTCGCGGGCGTCGGCGTCTCCGACGACCACCCGAGCGCCTAGGGTCGCTCCTCTCCCAATTTCCCACTACTGTCCCTCCAACAGGCGGGGCTCCGACTCCATGAACCGCCTCAGGCAACCTGGACACTCTATGACCAGGGGATACCCAAATCAGCGGGGTCAATCGCGTAGGGCGAGCCCAGACGTGACGTGGGGTAGGATTAAATTGGCGCGTCACTCCGACGTCAGCCTCTCCTCTCTCGGACGTCCCGTCCCGGGAGCAAAACTCCGGCGACTTTGGGCTCCGCCCCTGAGAGGAGGCGACCAATGACGGTGGGCCAAAGGGAGCCAGAGCCAATGAGAAGCGTCTGGGGCGGGGCGCGCGGCAGGGGGCGGGGCGGGCGGCGACGGTGGCAGCCCGAGGTCTGGCCGCGCGCAGTCTATGACAGTACGTCAGCAGCGGGATGGCCGTAGCTGCGGCGGCGGCTGCAGAAGCCCGAGCAGCCGCGGCCGCAGTGGAGGCTAGCGCCCAAGCGACGTCGGCGCTTGCACCCCGGGGAGTTTAAGATGGCGGCGGGGGGGGCGGCGGGCCTGCGGGAGGAGCAGCGTTACGGGCTGTCGTGCGGGCGGCTGGGGCAGGACCGCATCACCGTGCTGCATGTGAAGCTCACCGAGACGGCGATCCGGGCGCTAGAGACTTACCAGAGCCACAAGGTGAGGGACGGGGCCGCGGCGCTGGGGAAGCGAGGCCCGCAGGGCACCCTCGCAGCCGGTCGGGGGCGGCGGGCGACGCGAGGACTGGCGGCCCCTGGCGGCGGGGCCGGGGCAGCCGTGGCCCGGGCGGCGGCGGCGGCTCGGAGGGACTTTCCGACGGCGTTGCGGGTTTCCCGGCTCGACCGGTGCCCGGGGAGAGAGGCCTGGGGCGAGGAACCGGGCGGCCGTACCGGCCGCGGCCGGGAACGGGGCGCGCGCCGCCTACCAGTAAAGAACCGGGCGGCACCAGCTGCCGGGGGTTGGAGGGCGCCGGGGACCCGCCGGGACCGGGACTGCGGCGCCGCGCCGCGGCCGGGACACAGCTTGCGCTCCCGGAGACTCGCGGACCCGGGCGCTCCGCGGCTGGACGGACGGACGGACGGACGGACGGACGGCGGGCGGGCGGGAGAACCGTGTGCTGGCCGAGGCCGGAACGCGGTGCTCGCAGCCCGGGCGGGGCGGGGACGCACCTTGCGGAGGGGACCCGGGCACCGTGCGCTCCCGGAGACGCCCGAGGACTCGCGCACACCTAGTGCGGGGAGCGAGGGGTTTCTGGGGGAGGAAATCGGCGGAAGCTCCGCGTACCCGGAGGGAGGGCGCGCTGCGTCCCTGCTGACTGCGGGACCTGGCTGCTCGGGGCGATCCCGAAGGTGGGACGAACGCCCAGCGCGGCCTCCCGCGCAGGCTCCTGCCTCTGACCCGGGCTCCCCCGCCGACACACGCATCCCGAGTGCAGGAAGAAGCGTAGGCACCGCATCTAGGGCACGAATCCGGGAGTGTTTTCCCAGCGATAAAAGTGGGAGGGGTGGGACCCCAAGAAGAGACCGACAACCAGGGGGCACGCAGCAGGGTAAGAGCTACCCGGGTGAGAGCATTGCCGGGGGGAGGGCCACACCATATGGGGACCCGCAACGCTGTACTCCGAGAGGAAGGAAGACAGTCTAATCAAGGGGAGATGAAGCCAGCGAGGCTCCCTGACAAATAGTCCTGTCCATAACGTGGAAAACGCTCCCAACAGATTTCATAAAGCCAGGGAGCGAGGGGCGCCCAGACACAGCTCACATACTTAATTCAGGTAAAAGTGGGGAAAGAATTAGCATCTGTTGAGCTCCCACTAGTGTCAGGCACTTTAAATGCATAGGGAGAAGACAGCAAAGCGGCGCTGCCGAGTGCGAACCTGAGTCAGCTGAGTTTAGAGCAGCCCCACCACTCACATGCACACCTCGGGAACTGTTTATGAACACACAAGGCAGGCATGACGCAGTAGGAGAGATTGGGCGGTGAGAATACTCAGAAGGACACTGGGAGAATTGCGCGGACAGTGTTAATACCAGGATGCATGTGTTACCACCAAAGAAGCTGGGTTGAAAAACCCAGGCTTTGTACAAGGCTGCGGGGAAAAGAACAGGGAGAGCGATACCTTACTCCCCACAGTGAAACCAGAAAGGGAAAAGAGCCTCAAGTATGGCTGGTATTTCAGTGTATTCCAGCAATAAAGATGCAGAGAGATAAAGGAAATGGAAAACTGCACGTGCCAGTAGCTGGTCCTGCACAGGTGCACCTGCAGCCGAGAGCAGCACCAGTGAGCAGCGGGAGGCCCCTGCGGGGAGAGCCGGGATGGGAGGCAGGCAGGCCAGTGGTGGAGAGAAACTCAGTCCTGCCAGATAGAGAGATAAGCTTACCTGTTCCGAGGGACGGGCGTGGGAAGGAACGATAGTGGGAAGAAGGTAGGTCAGGAGATGGGGAGAGAAAAATACAGGTCTGGGGAGGAAGCCCTGAGAGGCGGCCATCCCCCATAGAGAAGTAGGCCTGGGGAGCAGAGAAAGTCCAGCCCTCGGTGGGTGGGCAGCCACAGGAGCTCTGGGATCAGCCAGGAAGCCACCCTCCTTAAGGAGCAAATCTGTGCCTTTGAACGGATACTTGGTGGGGAAGGGATAGTGTGAAGAGGCCCAGAGGGGGAGGTAGTAGTGCCCAGGGTGAGTCAAGTGAGGTCACACACACACACTGAGCTGGATGACCCCTGGATCCCAGGAAAAGAGTGCAGATGTTTTCCTCTTTGTGTGGCTTGCATTTCTGCCTCCTGTACTCTGTTTTCATGCTCGGGAAATGGCTACATTTATATACCAGTATCTTCCAGGAGCCAAATGATCAAAAATTCTTTATCTCTCAACTCACCACTTAGTTCTTGATTTCAATTTTTTTTTTCTATGTTAACTACTGAAACCAATGGCTTTGTTTGCTCTTAAATGCTTGTATTGCCTGGTAATGCTGTTACTGTCTTTTTCCATCTCTGGGCATGCATATTAGTGGATCTGGTCAATTAACGCAGAGGCAGAAAGGGAAATGGAGAAGACCTAGTTTCCAAGTCCTTCCACCTTTCTCAGCGTGGAGGCCTGTAGATTGAGTTAGCCTCAGAATTCATTTTCTCCTGAAACAATGAGAGGTAGAAGCAGTGACCTGCTGTGGCCTAGAGGAAAGAGACAGAATAAGCTGACTTGGCATTCGCTGTTGGACGTTGTCTTCTTTCTGGCTTAACTAGCTTCTGTCGCTTCGATTCAAAAACATTTTTATAGGGCTTGGAAAAGCTAGCTGGAATTGGGGTAAAAATGTCAAGGCCAGTTGGCTAGACAGTGTGCAAAAGCTGAAAAAAAACCTGTGGGTGACTATTCACTGCTGGTCCTCCGATGCAGTGTCTCTGGAGGGTTCACCGAAGCCCCTCACAGATGTGCCCCTGGGCCTGTCCTCCCGCCTCAGCCAGACCATGGCTCTCTCCAGGGAGAGAGTGACAGTTAGCAGCAGCAGGCATCCGGCTGAGCTTTTATCCTCCAGTAGAAGGATATTTATTTGGCCTTTTTCGCCTTCAGTCCTTGTCACAAATCAGGTTGATGACTTTAAATTGCAGCTGCTGTTTGGAACTGTGTTGCTCTGAGTTGGATAACTGGGAAAAGGTTTTAGAAGGTTAAGTTTGTTCTTTGGAGGGGGCAAGATATCACTTACTAATCACACAGAACTGCTCCCCCATTCCTGTGCTGGTGTAGGAGGGGGTTCAATGCATGATGACAGATGCCACCACCACACCCCACCCTCAAAGTTGGACATGTGCAAAGTGATGACTCTTACTCCTGATGACTTTGTTCAACAGGTTAATCTGCCAAACTAGGCATCAGAGTTGTTCTTGTACATATGATTTTTGTTCAGTTGATTTATTCTTCTAAATTATCCACTTGACCTAAGGCTTCAGAGAAATGAGTTTTATGAGTTTGGAAAGCTATGGTTTAGGGAGAATAGAGAAGTTCTTTAAGTTCTTTCGATATAATAAAACAAAAATACTAAATTATTAGGGTTCACAGAGGCAGACTCTGAAAAAACTAAGATCTTGGTTCTCTCAAGACATAACTGCTCACTGTTTGAAAAGACAAACTTGATTTACCTTTATTATTTAAGTTTTCTACTGTTAGAGCAAAGGTCCTGGGAGCTTTTCTAAATGGATAGGAGAACAATGTAAGTTCAACAAAAGGAGCATTACCTGGAGTGTCTCTTAAAAGGCGCTTTCAAGTCACTGAATATGGAAATAGTTTCATATTAATTAGGTGGATAGTTATGACTCTAAATTAATTTTCATGATTTCCAGAAAAACTTAAATATTCTATTACAGATACCTAGGATGTCACGCATTTTTCAAATGTAGATAGATGATTTTTGAATAAGAGAACAAGTAATGAAAGAAAATTGCAAATTACAGTTTTATTTCAGTTGGCATTATGGGTGTGTGGTCTGCATAAGCCCTACATATTTCAAATGAACATAGACTGCTAAATTATATATTTCTTGCAAATGTGAAATTACATTTAAAATAAAAATACAACATTTGGTAATGTATTTTAACTAATTTTCCTCAGCAGTATAGCTGGCTTTCTTTTGACATTGGAATAATATAACACAAAAATGTTATCAAAATATTGGTTTTAGGTTTTGACCGTGAGTGCCATGCCTTGCCAACTTGGTTTCTAAAAGTTTGCTTAGAATTTCGAAGATGGTGGGTCAAGTATTAGTACGTTTACCCAGCTGTGACATAGAAAGTCCTACCCACGTGTGAATGAGTATTAAAGCGACTTCTCTATCCCTGAAGATCAAACACAGATAGATACCTTTAAACAGGATTCTGTGAACATATTCTCTTGTCAGCTCTTTTGGTTTGAAATGAATTTTCCTGCCTTGATTAGTCCCATTTAGGAAAATGTTAATGTTTTCAAAATTTGTAAAAATATGATTTAATATTGCGCAAGGTCAGTCTTCCTGTATTAACAACTATTAATTCAGTCAAAGTAGAAAGTATGATTGAAACCCCCAAATTATTGACATTCATGTATCTCCCTTTAATGTGTTGTTTTTAGTTTTCTAAGTCCCTGCTGCCGCAGAACATGGAGTAGGAGATTCTTTCACCTCAGTCCTTCTTTCTGTCAGGTGAATTGTTCAGCTTTTGATTCATTATGGTTTAAGATTCAGAAAGATCTCTTCCCTGGCTGATTCTTTCTCTTCTCTTTCTACCTTATAAACACAGAAAACTGTGTACGCCTCACACCATGGCCTCAGTATCCAGGCCTGCCAGTGTGATGCACGCCTCACTGCCAGATGTATTTATTAAGTGAAGCATTAAGGTTTGCTGTGGCAGATTCCATTTGTCCCACTTGAAAAATGTAGCCCAGTTTAATTTAAGTAAGTTAACCTCACCGACTTTTAACTTAATCGAGGAAGGCCAAGTGTGTGCCCCATGATGCAGTGTTTGAAAAGTTTATTCGTGTGCTAAGTTTGTTGCCCAATACAAAAAAGCAGGGTGCTCCTCCCTAAGAAAGTCATAGCCAGATTGCCTAAAAAGATAGACCGGGAACCTTGGCACCAGAATTGGGAGGAGAAAGAAAGAACATATGTGAAGGACTGGAACATGTTCAAGAAAAGGATTT